AATCAAGATGAATATTAAGCTGCCATTGGTGTGCGCACATTTTATATACATCTTGATAAATTTTCTTCTTTAGAACAGAGACTTTAGGAATGACGAGAATAATAATAACCTTTCCCCAAAATCCAAGAAAGTACTGGGCATAGATTGCTTGACAGAAACAAAGTACAGACTTCTATCTAAAAATAAGAAACCATTTTCTAAACACTGGAGAACAAGAGAACATCTGAAACTCGTAAGATATCACGTTACTTTCTTTTTATTAGTGTATAGGGACTGTACCTTCATTTATACTTGTGCAGCAACTTAAACCCTATGTGCTTAACAGATGCAAATAAAACTACTAATAGTATAATATGGAAAACACAAACTCTGGCCTTTTAGAAGTATTTGTTTCTACAGAGACTTAAAAATGAAATACATAGAATGTGGCGAGAAATAGCTTGTTTTACTGAAGACTAAAAATTATTTAATTAAAGCCTCCAAAGTTTTACCCTTTAGAGAGCTCATTTGATTGTTATGATTGTTGGTCTTTTATGAGGATCCTGACATTGTTTTTTCCCCAACTGTGACTTTTTAAGACATTTTAAGAAACCACAGCACATCAAGGGAGTTTCAACTCTACCACTCATCCTTTAGAAGTACCAGATGTGCCTACAATATCTGGGAAACTTCACGCTCATGACACTTTTGGGCATCTTTTCTGCACTTCAGAATAGTCAAGGCAAGGGTATGCACAGTGAATCTACAGTGAAACAGAAGAAAAGTCAGGACATACAACCCATCCTGAAGCTAATATGTGGTCCACCTGGCCAAGAACACTGGGCACCGGTGCTCCAGGATTATCACTAATCAAGTCAGCATTGCTCAGGAACCCCAACAAAATCTGTGCTTTGGCTCCCTTACCTGTAATACTGATATTTACAGCAACCATCTTTGCAAAGCCATTCCAGATAACATCTACTGAGTAGGCACATATTTCTTATCAGATAACCAACCACATGAAGACTCAGTTTGTCTCAATATACCTTCTCAAATTCTTGCTTGCAGGCTCTAAGCTCTTCACCCAGCTTGACGCTTTCTTTTTCAAGTCTACTCCTTATTTCCTGGAGCTCTATTGTTTTACATTTTTCATTAGCCAAGTCTTTTTCTTTCAAAATCTTGAAGAGAAATAAAAAGTGCTAGAAAAGTTACTTCCTCCAAGTTCACAAAATTAAAAAAACAATCAAACAAAAACCATTCAGGGCCCAAAACCTACCTGGAGGTTTTGTAATTAAGGGGAAACAACTGCCACAATCTCTATCCACAGTTCGTAGTGCAAACAATTAGCAGCATGTTTGCAGTTTTAGATTTAAAACTAATAACATTTTTGCACCTGTCTAGCCACTTAGAACAAATTAACAGCCTATTTCGAACCAAATTCATTTCAACTGTCTTTTAAAAGCCTTTGCACCAGAAGTTCAGTAAAACTGCCATTGCTATGCACTACAACAGTGCTATGCCCTCAAAATACCCCTTGTTTAGAGATGTAACAGAAATTAATAAAGGGTGCCTGCATGGGATGGATGTGTCTGTGTGAAGATTTCAAAAGACAGAGGCATTTACCCTGTCATTCTGAAGATCCTGTAACATTTTGGTCTTCTCGCCCAGCTGCTGCTCCTTCTTTGATGCATCCTGCTCCAGTGCAGACTTCGCTTTCTTCAGTTCCTGAATCTGCTGATTATTGCTAGCAATTCGATTTCTGCTGGAAACTAATTCTTCTTGAGCTAGAGCAAGTTTTTCTTCTGTGGACTAATTACAAAGAAAGTTCTACAAATCATCTGTCAGCATAAGAGCTTCAGATACTCAACAGTCACTTTAACATTTTTCACACGGAAAAATCGTTATCTAGCATGCAACATTTAGCTTCAAATGTTGACAAAGCATAGTTACAGAAACTTCTAGGTTACAAGGCTACCCTGAGTAAAAAGAAACTACCCCAGTACCATTTCCAGCAGCAATGCCTTACTGTACATATTCCAGCTTGCATCCTTCCACTGAGAAAAGGTGAAAACATACAAAAGGGCAGAGAATGAAAGGTAACTGATGAAAAGAGAATGAGCTTGAATTTTCTCACACAAATTTATTTTATTCTCTGGGCGAAATCAACTGCTCTATAACTCTAGACAGCTGTTCCTTAAGACGCAGTGAAGCTATACTGTGAAGATTTCAAAAGCCATTCAATGCTATTTTTTACCAACGACTTAATGAAGCTAGTGCTAGGACAATTGTAAAATTTTTGAAAATCCTAAAGTGGAATGTACAACCTAAAAACGCCAATATCAGGACAAAACATTTCACAATCTCAGCTGCATCAGCATTTTAAACACAAAATTTAAACTTCCATTCAAAATCTACTACAGATTATATTTTAATTTGCCTCCAACTCTGCCTATTACCTAGAGAGAGAACTTGGATTTATCTCTCTACAACAGGTCGCAAAAACCCAAGAAACAACCTAAAACTTGCACCAAAGGCTCATTCTATTTGTTCACAGCAAAGTCAAACTTTGGGGTTCTTCTTGAGTAGTATTCTGGAGGTTATTTTTTTTTAAGCCTTCGGCTTAGGCAAGAACTAGCTCTACTTAGAAGCATGTTCTTTCACAAAGAAACAATGAGAAAGAAAAAAACCAAATTCATCCTCCACTCCTCCAAAATATTGGTATCTTACGGAAATTTTTTATGTTAAGATACAGAATGTGAGGTGAGGAGATTTATTACCAGTAATGGGTTTATTACCTTCAGTGCATCAGTAAGGATTTAAATTCTTTCAAGATAAACTAAATTCTTTTTGAAGCTCTTACTTAAATCCTAATCAAACCTCTTGTTGAAGGTTAGTGATTTTAAAGGGAACAATAAGCACAACTTTGACTTCACTTAATTACACATATGCTTTAGCCACTCCCATGTTGATTTAAAAACAAATTGATTTCTGATGCCTCCTAACCCTCCTTCTAATATCTAAAGTATTTTGCCTATAGTCAGACTTAGTTTGAAACACCAATGATGGAACACTGCTCATTCAATAGCATTTTCAACAACCCCAGTGGCTCTTACAACGCTCACACTGGCTTTTAAAATTAATTTGCAGACAAAATATTTTATTTGCTTTCTGAGCTATTAGATATTACTACTTAACACTTCACAAGGTGTTAACTCAGATTTTTTTTTAAGCAAAATAGGAGGTGCTTTTACAGTTTCAAGCTTTCAGCAGCGTGGGTCTTTCAGAAAGCAAAATTATCCCTCTCTGCTCCACTGTGGGCAGTGGAGTACCTATTTTCCTAACAATGAGAAAGGATGGGAAGTGTAGCATCATCATATAACATCTTCACAGGAAAACCCAATAGTCTCTGCAGTTTTATAAAGAAAGATAATGAAGCCACAGCTTGTATTCAAATTTGTTTCCAGTAGAAGAAATGTGGTTGCATCCAATTTGTTAGCACAGGATGATGAAATTTGATGAAGTGGATAGCGACACCCAAATTAAAAGCCTCACATAGGGGATACTCCTCTCTCACACACACTCCCCCCAGAGTGTCTACACTGGACAGGTTATCTCATTGTGTCTATACCTAGGCTAAGACAATGTAAACATTCTTATAAGGGGAGCCAGTATTCAGTGTACTTTGCACTGTATTATGCACAAACATTTCTGTAATTCAGTAGTTTGTAATGTAAGAGACCTGGAATTTTGCATACAATTTAGCATGCTATAGCTTACATGTACAAGTGCCTCTTTGCTGTCATTAATAGTGATGCTACCTACCTTAACTGGGAAACCATTCAATATAATTTTAACAGTAAATCAACCTTCTATCTATTTATGCCTTTCTTTCTGCTTTGCTCAGAAGTCCCTCACAGCATCCTTTGGAAATGAGCAAAAATCTTCTGGCACATGGTTAAACATTCCAGTTATCCTTCCTCCTGGCCCAGTCTCCACTGAGACCATAATTTAGCCCGATTCCTTTGGACTGCTGAGGAGCTCAGATCTTTAACATAAAATCACCTCTCAAAACATCTGGTGCCATTTACCTTGTTTAATTACCATTCAGTTTTGCCATTGCTCCCAGAATATTACAGGTGTTCTCCCAACAAGATACCCTCACTCATGAGATTGTTCTTTAGGATGACAAACAAAACCAAATGCAAGGAAAAGGTACAGAACAAAAGATGCCAATCTGTACTTATTTTTGTAAACAAAAACAGATGCTAGGATGACTAGTATAGAGTTTAAATAAATGAATAAAAAGGTAAGAAGATATCACAGTCTGATTCACTACAACTTGGGCTGTTGCAGTGCAAATAATAGTGCCAACAGCAGAACTGGTCCTAGCTGGGTGGTAGGACCCGGATTCATTCCACCTAAGTGAGGTGCACAAATGAGCATTTTAGTCTGTGTGCTCCCTGATCCCAGTCCACAAGGAGAGACATGAAATTATTCACAGATGCTAACCTGATCTCTCTTCACTTCCTAAGAAGGGTTAGACTGACTGTAGGTAACTTAGGCTCCTGACTTACAGACCTGAGGTTTGGCAGCATGAATATTGTCCCAGAATGTCCACTGAAGATACACTGACAGTGATGCCAATATTGGAGGCAAAGAAACATTCTTTTGAGAACACAGAGAAAACCAGGACTGACTACAAAAAGCACAAATGCCAAGACTGAAGGATACTTGGCAGAGCTCAGGAGAGCAGGATTCACACAAAGTATGTTTGCACTAACTCAAAATCAAGGCAAAAATAACAGTTCTGTATTTTTATTAACTCTTCTATATAAAAAATGCCTTTTCCACAAAAAAAATTTAAACATTTTGTGTGTGTATGTATACAAAAAATATTTATATATTATATATATATTTGTATATATGTGTGTATATATAAAAATATTTAGTGGTATTCTTTTTTATTATATATACTTTTTTATCAAAAACTATAGCTTTTACAAGCACTCAAATCCTACCCAATTTCTTTTTCCAGTCACAGAGACAAAAATGTATGAGTAGTTACTGTCATAGACGGTGCATTTTTAAACTGAAGTAGATTTGCAGCAAATAGTATCCATAAAATTATAAGTACGTTCTCACTTCCGATTTTGTTACAACACTTGTCACCTTTCCTCTGCATGACTTACAGCTCCAAAGTTTGCATCTGGCTACAGCTACATAGCTAGGATCTTCTGTTATTGAACCAGAAACTAGGATTCAGCCGTGCTGATGGCACTCCAGAGAGCAGCTGCCCACTCTGCGGCTCGCTCTCGTGCAATGCTGTACCTCCAACTGCAAAACTTCGCTGAAGCATTTGCTTGCTTTTCAGTCGCACCTCTGTCTCCCAGCCGGAGGTGAGCCAGCGATCCCAGCAGTGATATTCGAACAGATGCCAGCAGATGGTGCTCTGTGTACGGCCCAACTCCTGCCATCCCCTCCCAGGAACTAGACCTACCACCCTACCCATGTCACCCATACACTGTAAGGCCTTTTACGATCTATCCCCACGCCTGAAATCTTGGCCTCACCAAAAGCATGGTGCTACACCACGTGAGAATATTTGTTTTCCCTTGTAGTATTTTTAACTAAGGAAAACCTAGCATCGCTAGGATCTCACGATACAGCCTGGCCATGCAGGTCCTGGACAATGCTAGGCTTCAAATCGTGCTGACTCAACGCAGCTGTGCAGGGAGTTCGTGTCTCTACTAAAAATCCTGCACTGAAAGACACCCAAGCTCACCTCGCATACAAGTTTTAAAAACTTCTACTACTGCCTACTAGTAAGATTAAGACCAACCTGAACCCCAGCCCACCCACCAGCTTCAGTTCCAAACTTTAATCAAAATCCATAGCTCTGGCTCAAATTACCTACTTGATTAAGTAACTCGCCCAAGGCAAAACATAATCCAGACAACTGACTTTGAATTGGACTGTGAAACTCCACCATAAAGTTCTTCTGACTTGTGCGGCATTTTGATATCCAGCTCTCAAGACTAACATCACGCTGAGGCTTTCTGAATGTGCTTTTTCCTTTGCGGTCTTCTAAGACCCGTTATCACTGCTTCTTTAGGTTAACATTGCAATGAGGCAACACATCCACAATTGAAGATTGGCTCCCCACCTTTCCCTCTTCTACATTTTACAGAAAAAAGTGGTGGCAAGCAGACCTCACTAATCCTAATTAATATATGTTTTTAATTTTTTTTTTTTTTAAATCGAGTGAACAGCCTCCAAGTTGGTACATCACTTCAGTACTGAGGACCCCAATCTTCCTCAGGCTCTCTAGACTCCACAGAGACTTACATAATAAATCAAGTTACCTGACTGCTCATCTTGAAAATCTTATTTTCCCGTTGCCATCACCTTATTTTACCTTTTTGCAGGGATGTTCTCCCTCTCTCTTGCTACCATCCCCATTCAGGTTTAAAAGCATGTGGGACACCTACTGTCCTACTTTATACTTGCCAGAACTAGAGGTCATCAAGCTGGTTTAATAATACTTATTCAGAGCTATTTCTGCAACAAGTGATACTTAAATGAAAACTATACCAAATAACCCAGGTACTGAGCACATCCAATGCTTTTACAGGTCATTGCATTACCAAATGTTGATCTAAATGCATTGCAGGAAATTAACTCACAGATGTACGTGTGTTATAGTAACTAACTGTAAGAAAGAGTATATTTAAACCACCGCTGCTTGTTAATCATGCTGAAGTTCTTCACAATTTAACATAGCGATTCAACCAAGCTGCACTGAAAGTAAAGCTTCTGTAACCTGCACGGAAACGTGGCAGGTAATTTAATGCTACAGAAGAGCAAGATTAATAAAAATCCAATGGCCTATATGTAAAGGAGCTATTTCTTTTTTTCTTAAAATAACCCCAAACCTGGAGTTTGGCTAGGGCTCCACAGCTCACATGGGCCTATCTGAAATGGCCACAAGACCTTTAAAAATTTCAGTGGTGGGACTGAAAGGCCTCCACTGGGACAGATGAAAGGGAGCGATGAAATCTAAGCAGTCACCAAAGGCTCCCTTTATACATAACGAAGCAAACAGAAGCTGACGTCTAAAACAGATCAGATGATCTGTCCTCCCGAAGTGCCTATTTCTCTCCATAAACTTCAGAAGAGCCTAGAATAATGGAGTCAGACAGACACAGACAAAGCTGCAGTGGGATTAATCTGAAGGGAAAAGTGCCAAAGCTACACATCTTGCCAGTAGACAGCCAGTCTCTGCAGCACAGTATGTCCTGGGACTAACTGGAGCATTGGCTTAGCACTAACATGAAGGAGGGGAGCAGAAAAAAAGGACAAAAAACACCTTTGCTGACTGACTCAACTCCCAGCAATACCTCTTTGAAGGCTCTACACCCTAATACCAAATCAGATCAATTCAGCTTAGGAACAGCAAAAACTTCAAGGACTAAGTTCTGATGCTTGTATTCCAGGCAGGTCCCTAAACCTACTGTTTCTATTAGTTTGACATCTCTGAACGTCTACAATCAGCCAGGAAGAAGCGGAAGGGGCAAGGACATGGGAAAAGACTGACAACTAAAATTCTAGTTAAATCATCTAGAAGATAGCAGTTACTCACATGCTGGCAGAGACTTTGCCCTAATTAGCTATACTGTTTGAATTAGCTGAAAGCTACAATATGTAACACGAAAAAGCAACACGAAAAATTAACTCTTAAAAGAATACAAAAATAAATCATCTTTCATTTTGCTGCTGCACAAACGCAAGGGTATTTCAGGTAAACTGGCAAATACTCTTGGCTTTAAATTAGTTTCAGGATGTCCTCTGTCCGGGGGGAAAGGATTGAACAGCACTAAATTCTATATATAGGAGAAGAGCTTTTTTCCACCTATACAGTTCTCACACTGTTTCTTGGTCTTCAAAATGGATATGAACAGATCTACTAAGTCACATATGACACTAAAATGACTGTAAGTACCTTAAGGTCTTGCC